CATTCTTGCACTTTTCCCTTGGATCTCACCTGAATGGGGGCTCGTACTCGTTGCCGTAGCATGCGGCATAGAGCATGTTGCTGTAAGTGATCTTGTCCGGCTGCATCCGAAAAGGCGAAGGGGAGGAGAAAGTTAGAACAAGATGAGAGAAGAGAGAGAAAGTGGAGACAGATGAAGGGCATAGAAGAGGAGAGAGGAAGAGGAGAGAAATGGAAGAGGAGAAGAGAGGAAAGAAACGAGGAGGAGAGGAGAGAAAGGAGGAAAGGAGGAAATGGGAGAGAAAAGAGGAGGAGAGGATAAGGGAAGGAGAGGAGAGCAAAGAAGAGAGGGAAGAGAATAGAAGAGGAGAGGAGAGCATAGTACAGGGCAAGAGGGAGCAGGACACAACAGAGCAGGACAACGGACAACATCGAGAGGTTCTTACTTTCAACCCATCAGCCTTCAAGACATCGATGATACACATCGCTTGCTCCAACTTCCCTGCTCGAGATTATCAGCAAGCAAGCGAGAAATCATACTAACATCTCATTTGATTTGATCTGTGAACACAACAACAGCTGGTAGTGCATCAGAGCCTCACAAACACATCACGTCACGTCACGTCACGTCACGTCACGTCACGTCACGTCACGTCACGTCACGTCACGTCACACCACACCACATCACATCACATCACATCACATCACATCACATCACATCACATCACATCACATCACATCACATCACATCACATCAAAAGAGAGCCATCTTTGTTGCAAACATTCTCTATCGTTGTCTTCACCTGCTTTCATCAAGATATGGATCATCTGATTATATGGGGCTGGGCTGCTCATCTTCTGACCAGAATGCCTCATAGTCTGCCACCAAACATGATGAGAGTTCAAAATCATGTCTCCTCTTCCACTTTCCTCGTCGATGATAACAACAACATCATCATCATCACCACCGCCACCACCACCACCATCACCACCGTCCCCACCACCATCGCCATCATGATCATCCTCCTCCTCCTCATCATCATCACCATCACCATCACCATCACCATCACCATCACCACCATAATTGTCGCGTTCACCTTGCCCTCACGATCTTCACTCACCTCAAATATTTCCATCGCCTTGTCGAGCAAACCGAGCCCTTTGCACGCATACAACACAGTTGTGTAACTGTGCTGATCTCTCTCCAAACCCTGCTCCCCCATCTTCTCAAACACACTAACAGTCGTCTTGAAGTCCTTCCTTCGATTCAGCGCAATCATCAGGTCGTTTACTCCTCGCATCGAGACCTTTCTCTTCTGAAAGAATGTCGTCCAGTCCAACTTGGGCCCACTAGAAATTTTCTCCATCCTCTCCTTCAGATGCTTCGGCCGTTTCTCATCCCTTGTTTTCCACTCCTGCTGCAGCAGCTGCTCCTTGGTAAAGACCCACGGGGGTACGTTTTCAAACCCTCTTATCCCTGCGCTCCTAAGCTTCTTCATCTCATCCAGTGTTACCTTCACCTCCTCCACCGCTCCTCCCTTCTTCTTCCTCATCGGCTTTTCTTGCGTCGACCCTCCAACCTCCTTCGCGAACTTCTGCATATCGCGCTCTGCTTCGCTGTTGTCCGCTAGACTGTTGACTGCAGGGTTGTTGTCTGCCATCCCCCGGGCAGGAGGCGACCAACCCTTCCGTGCCGTGGATGGGTGAGAGGCCAGAGGAGGAAGAACGAGCGTCCCCCTCCATGAGACTGAGAAGAAGCGAAGGGCGGAAGGCAGGCAGCACGTCCGAAACCTCTGCAAGGAGCTGCTGGCCGAGTACATCCCCACCCTCGTTGCCGCCTTCATCTAGCGGCGAGCAGCAAGTCAGATATCCTGGTGAGCATATTTCTCAGTCCTCTCCATACTCCTTGACCTGCTCTAGCCATGGACCCACTGGACATTTTTAGCTCATCTGAGCCTCAAGCTCTGAAACCCCTCTACCCTATCATCCAGTCTCGACCCGTCAAATTCCTATTCCTCCCCTCCTTTTTCAATTGCCCCTGACCTCTCTGTTCTTCCTCCTGTTCTCCCTCTGCCTTCTCCCTCCACTGTCTCCTTTACCTCATCGCCTCTTTCTGCCCTGCCCTGCCCTGCCCTGCCCTGCTCTGCCCTGCCCTGCCCTGCCCTGCCCTGCCCTGCCCTGCCCTGCCCTGCCCTGCCCTGCCCTGCCCTGCCCTGCCCTGCCCTGCCCTGCCCTGCCCTGCCCTGCCCTGCCCTGCCCTGCCCTGCCCTGCCCTGCCCTGCCCTGCTCTTCTATACTCTGCTCTGCTCTTCTCTGCCCTGCCCTGCCGTCACTCCCTTGCTGGATCTGGACCAGTCGCAGGCGCACATGCAAGTACCACCCCTGTATAAAACTACCCCTCAATACTGGGAAAAATCAGGGTTCTTCACTGTCGCCTGATAAAAGCAAATCCATTTACTTGGAAATATTGAAATATTAGAGTAGAGCTTGAAATATTTTCGAAACTTATAACAATTTATTTTGATTCCGTTTCATTCAGTGACTGAACGTTTCAACGGTTTCAGGCCGCGGCTGCTCAGTGTCATGGAGGCCCGGCCCTAGCTAGTGGACCGGGCCCGGGCGTTGTTTGCCAACCTTGCTATCGACAGTCACGCGGCCAAAGAACAGCAGCAGAGCAGAATTTCCGACAGCCACAGAGCTGCCGCTTTCCGGAGTCCGGTGGCATCGCCGGGGGCCCGTGCCCGGCCGGGCCCGGGTATACTTGTAAGTAAAGTCTTGCCAGGCTCCGAGGCTCACTCAGTGACATGTTGAGTAAGTTGAGAGAGTTGCTATGAATTGCTCAGCTCAAACGATTGCCTACAAATTCCCAGAGCGATTTTATACTGTTGATGCCTTTGAGTGACGCTTTAATTTTAACACTCAATGACTGACAAACGTTCTTGAGAGAGAATCGCCGCCGGTCGCGACCATGAGCTCAGCTGGGACCCAGATAGAGAGCAGCTGGACCTGAAGGCCAGCAGGAAGTCACTGGGAGCCTTTGACGGTACTCTCCTGCGTTCCCAAGTAGCTCACTCGGAGCCTACGAGCCTAGTCGTGCCCCAGCACTTCTCCTGTCCTGTCCTGTCCTGTCCTGTCCTGTCCTGTCCTGTCCTTTTCTCATCTATTCTCAGCACTGAACTGAAGGCGTGAGTCCATGCTTATCGCACTTTGGGGTGAAATTCGCTTTCCTCATCCCCTTCTTCCTTTTGTCCTATACTCTCAGCCCTGGCATTCTCCTCCTCCACCTCCTCCTCCTCCTCCTCCTCCTCTCTTGTACTCCTCCTCCCTTGTACTCCTCCCTTGTACTCCTCCCTTGTACTCCTCCCTTGTACTCCTCCCTTGTACTCCTAACTTCGCCCTGCTCCTCTCCTCCTCCCTCCTCCTGACCTGCTTCTCATCTCGCATCCTCCTGAATCTCACAGCCTCCTCATCCAGCAACGCATTTCCCTTGCAGCCTCTGTGGCATCGTGAGGAAGAGAACATCACTTGTAGCACCTGCCGATCAATCGCATCGAGCGATGGCTGGCTGTCTGACAAATGAAGGATAAGTTTGGACTTGAGCTGCAGAAAAGGAGTGAAAAATACGTATCATGGTAAATGAAAAGAGAAGAGGAGAGGAGAGGAAGGAGAAGAAGAGATGGAGATAGGAAGCAGATTCCCAAGAGGAGACAACGGGAGCAAAGAAAGCAGGAGCATGGAAACATAAGGGAGAGGAGGAGGAGGAGGAGGAGGAGGAGGAGGAGGAGGAGGAGGAGGAGGAGGAGGAGGAGGAGGAGGAGGAGGAGGAGG